CATCTTCGATCCCCACTCCAATCATCACCGAATCCGTTACTACCACCTCTTCCCAACCACCAGTAACAGTCAATGTATCTGATACAGGGGCTACTACTGTGGTTGAAACCCCCGTCATCAACATCCCACCATCACCTTCTCCATCCTCAACCTCCGGTGCTACTTTGGGCGGTGATGATGAAGAGTACGATTCTCTTTATTATAGCCCATACCGGATTCCCACAGATACTGATGCAGATACCCCTATTACCAGTCAGCAGCTTCAAGAAATTCATGACAAACTCGATAGTTTGTTGGCTGATAATAAAGCCTATGGGGGTGTGGTGCTGAAAGCCTTTATCGAGTCTGCAATCAAGACGTATACTGATGCTCTGGATCGTTCCACCGATGCCATTGACAACTCAGCGCTTCATGCTCCAAAGCTACAAAGGAAGTCTCTGAGGTTGTTCACACAACTCAGATTTTTCTCGATTCTCTCAAAGCACATGCTGATGCTAATGCGGCCAAGTATCAAACGTCTGTGGACTCCTTTTCGGCTACCCTTCAGGGTGAAACCTCCAAGTTTGAGGCTCTGCGTGCTGACCTCAAAACTGAATCCACCTCTTTTCTCCAATCTTTGGATTCACGTTTTGCTTCTCTAGCAGCAGAGAGCACTTTAAAAGAAGATCTTGTCAAGCATCAGGCAACTATTGACCTTCAGAAGATACAACTGGCCCAGGCACAACAAGAAATCTCTTTGCTGAAAACTCAGCGGGCTGTTCTTCAAGGTTGCGCTGGTGATGTCAAGAATATGTTGACAACTGTCCTTGACACTCATGATCCCTTTCTTACCCTTACCATCAGACAGCATCTCCAGGCTAAACTCCTTCCTGCGATTAACATTTTGAGCGAAATGAAGGGTGTCTCGGAGAAGCTTGTTCTTCCGAGACAAGGGGGAGAGGAGGGTATACCAAAGACAGAACCGAAGGTTAATTTAGCTTCGGGTTCTGGAAAACAATTACTTGTTGAGAGCGAGTCAGATACTGATGAAACTATCGCTGAAGCTCTTCAACGAAAGAAAAGAGACAAAGAGCTGGATGAGACACTGAAAATAGCTCGAGAGGCAGAGGCCAAAGAAAGAAGAATCAAGGAGGATGAGGATGCTCTACAGGCCAAGAAGACTCTGTTCCCAGAATGGGACAGAGACACACTCATTAATCAAGCGATTGAGTTTCCCTCCATGTATTGGTTGGAACCGATTGCATCTTTTGAGTGTGAGAATACCAAAGACTCGCAGTTTGACATGCCAATCACACGAAAGGCTTTTACATTTCATTGCTTCGATGTCACTGCTGATGTCCCTCATCCAAACTTGAAGGTTGACAGAGAATTAATAGATTTCTATTTGAAGTATGGTCAACCACAGTACTTGACATGGAGTGCACAGAAGATAATTAACGTCAAGGTACTGAAACCAACACAGGCTAGGAAATTTGTGAGCATTAACTTCAAAGTCAACAGAGGAACGGCCAACACAGAACATTTTATTTCTCTGGCAGATCTTCCCAGTCTGAATCCTCATGATTGGATTCTGCTATACAACATTCTTCTCTCCAATCAAAGAGAGTATGAACCGATTCTGAAACATCTCAAAAGAATGTTGCCTTCCTATATCCATGAGCTTGCCACTATGGATCAAGAAATATCAAAAATAATGAACAAGAAACCGACCGTCAAGCCTACTTCCAAGACAGGAGATGTGCACAAAATGAAGTTAGGGCAAATTGACTCTTCAAATCTGACGGTCATGCTCACAAGAGGCGATAGACACAAGTTTATGTTTGCTTTGGTAGACAAGCATCTGTTTTCAACAGATTGTCTGGAGCATATCATAAACATCATTCACCGATGCAAGAAGAATTCTACCGCAGACAAGAAGAACTTCACTGATATGCTTCGGTGGTATATCACTTTCAGGCATCACATTCTGGCCATTATACCGAGGATTTTTGAGACGGTGAAGAAACCTTCTGCTGTTAAAAGGGAATGAAGCCTCTGTGCCAAAGACGCAAAGGGGGAGATTGTTGAAGATTATTGTGTTGCATCTTGGGCCCTTTTGTTTTACAGCTGGATTGGGCTTGTCAATCCGTGTTTATCTAGATTAGCCTTCTTTTTCATAGATAAACCGTTATGGTTTTAATATAAATATATGCATGCATGTATGCGTATAAGGAAGCGGTCGTCACTCTCATTGATTATTGTAAACCCTAAAATCCTCTACATTTGATGTTCTTTATCGAGCTCTTCTGAGGATTGTCTATTAATCATTCGACACCTTTTGATCCATTTGCTTGTTCTTATTGTTTATCTGGTTATTTCTCTACCTGTTTCATAGATCTAATCAATCTTCAAGTTTGTTTTTTAAACTTATCATCGACAATCGGTCTCAAGCTCCGAAAACATGTACTGAAGCATCCATGCGATTAAACAAGAAAATGGTTAAACCTGACGACAGATGGGTATCAAAAGTTTCCACTCCCAAATCACCTAAAAATTCTAACATTTATTCATTTTATGTGTTTGATAAATATGATATGACTTGGGAACGTGTATCATGCATAGATGTCAAAGTTCAACCCTGTTTCAAAATGGATTGGATTCCCAAAACCAGTTAATCCTGCACTCTGTCCCAGAGCAGCAGTACGTTGATAGTGGATGTTCCAGGCACATGATTGGAGACATCACTCATCTGCATGACATTCAAAATTTTAATGGAGAGCATGTGCCCTTTGCGGGAAAGGAAAAGGAAATATTACAAATAAGGATTACATCAATTGCTGAACTACGGTTTCAATTTTATGACTCTTCTATTCTCTATGATAATAATGCTAATTTTGAATCATGCAAAAACCTATTTTTTCTAAAACCAAGCTCGTGCTTGTAGGATTTCTTAAGATGATACGTTTCGAAGACTAAAATTTCTTTTCATTTTTATTTAGTATTTCTTATTTTCCTTCATTTTGTTTTACTTTTAGAAAAGGTAATTTGTGCCAATCTTTTGGGAAGTGATATGAGTTAGTGATAAAGGGAAAACGAAATATGTGTAATGCACTAAAGATGAAATGTCTAAACTCTATGTTTAATGTGTTGGTAGGCATAAAGGACTAAGACTAATGGACTAGATAATGTGGACCCATTTGGACTTAGAAAGTCTCATTTGGATTGACAATACAACGCTTGGATAGATTTTATAGTAAAACAGACAAGGAGGCCTATGACATAAATTGAAGCTAACTATCATCTACATCCGTGGTTCAACACTTCATTGGTGTATGGACTTGTTTCTTTAATTCTTGTATTGACAGGGGGTGACTAAGGGGCTCTGATAAATTGGGTCCATTTAAAATCATTATTCTTTCTTTCTTAGTCAACCATATGCGGTCCCCTTTGCATGATCGAAAGACCCAACCTGGGACACAACATATGCACTCAGATGATTTTCACTGCTTTATAGTTAGTATATTGTCTCCTACATATATCCTACTCTCTATGTTATTCATATGTTGTCCCCTCTGCGTGATCGGTAGATCCGACCTATGACACAACATGTGCATTCTTCAATGATTATTTACTCACCTAAAGTAAAGGAATCCGAAGAAATTTCCTTGATTACAGGGGTATGCCTTGAAGTGGGTAACGTGTTCCAGTGTACTAACATTAACTGCACCTATAACTAAAGGCTGATTGGTAGATTTTACGTGATAAATTTAAGTGGAAAAAAATATCCCCGATCGTCTTCAGACAAAATGGTCTATTTAAGAATATAATAGCTATATATCGTCACTCATGATCTGTCCTGAAAATTGTCCTTTGTGCTTAAGTGGATCACAATATAAATGATTGACCAGAGTTTTTCGTGAACGTGTGTGTAGATAAACCTCATTAATTTGCTTCATAACTTTTGATCCCAAAAGTTTTTAGTTTTATTAGAATCTATTTATTACATTTTTGTTTTATTTAAATTTGTACATATTTTCATTGTTATGCACAAATTTAAGTGGAGAAATAATAAAATAAAAAAAATAAATTTCAAATATTTATAAAAATGTGTTTAATTTTAATTTTATTTTCATATTTAGTTTTTGAAATGTAAAATCGAAAGAAATCCTTTCCTTGGGCCGAAATCGTTTAGGTGAGCCATTTGCGTCGTCTTTTCGATAATATATATATATATATATATATATATATATATATATATATATATATATATATATATATATATATATATATATATATATATATTATATTGTGTTTTCGGCTGATTAGGGTTTCTCAACGAAAAACCCCAAACAACCATCATCGTTTTCTCTCTTCTTTCATCAAAATTTTATGCTAAAACCTACTCAGTCATTGCTTTTGTTACAAATTGTTCCGAGAATTGGGTATTTTTTGGGTTTTCGATCATGGCAATGGCATTTAAGTTGTTTTTGGTGTACTCGGTTTCACATATTTGTAGGTTTTCAAGTGGATTTGTCAAGGTTTTCGAAAAACTGAGTTGGAACAGGTTCTGATGAGATTTCAGGTTTATGGTTCAACTCGGATTCGACCGAAAGCAGATGAAGATCTAACCGAAATCTAGATTATCGGCCGAAATCAATCATATTTAACCGAAAACGATTGAAATTTTGTTTTTGATTGAAATCGACTGAATTTTGACTTTGACCTTGACCTTGACTGAAATCATATTTCAAACTCAATTTAATTAATATAAAATTAGTTCTCTTTTGGCTAGTTTGTAGCAGACAATTGACATAGCAACTTAAATCCGTAGACTCTCACAGGATTGTTGGATATCTCATGGATCCTCCTGCTACTCATCAAGAGTTCAAATCCATGATGGTGGGTTTGAATAATTGTAGGATCTCTTAAACCTAGAGAAGGAAGCAGTTGTTACACCACCGGTTGTTACTGAAAGGAAAAGTGACACAATGGTGCAATCCTCCATTCCGACACCTGAATAGATGGATACTCTCATAGCAGAACTTCAACGAACTGCAAGGAAGCCTCGCCAAACAGTTTCTGTCACTACTGAACCTCCATCTGAAAGTGATCAAGATGACTCAACCTACGCTTTACTCCCAAAGAAGCGAAAAAGAAGAGATCCATGTTCGGGAGTGTTTATCACCTACCCAATTCAAAATAATTCTACTCCGATTGAGCATGGTTATATTGCTCAAAACCTACAAAGCACATTCACTGAGCCCTCTCCAGTGATTCAAGAAATATCAAGCACGTTACCTAATCCCGCTCCTATGGATCAGGATTTTCAAAGCCAAATTGTTGAAGAAGAAGTCTTACCTTTAAAAGGAGCTCAAGCTTCACGAAGCTCTTTTGAAACACCCGAGCTGGACATTTCCAAAGGAACAAGCAAGTTGCCTGAATCTGAATTAGTTGATGTCGTTCAGCATCAGATTAAAGTCTTTGATTTGGAACAAAACTCTGCTGAAAAGGATTTGATAATTAGAGAGCAGGATATTCGAATAAACAAGCTTGAGAAAGAGAACTCCGATAAAGATTCAAAGAAGTCGGAGATTCAAGCGGATCTCAGTGGTCTAACTATTCTATTCTTTCACCTGAAACAATGCCTATTTTAAAGTATGGTGATGAATTTCAACCTTTTAGCACTAAAGGAGAAAAGATCACTGCTTCTAGATTTAGGTCCCCTAAATCCAGCTTCATAATCTTCAAGTGAAAGAGTTGCAAGACCTACTCCCGATGCTAGTCTTGATACATTCTTATTCTTTTCTTATCTTTCTGCTCAAGAAAGAAGAGAGAATAAAATTAGGGTTAAGCAGCTAAAAGGGAAAATGCTTGTGATGAAGAATTCAGATAAAAATGCTCTGGGCGATCATCCTGAAATGTTCTTCAAGAAAATTGGGAAGAAGTTCACAGAGAAATATGGTGATCGTTCTAGCATCATGATGTGGGGATATGATGTTGAAAAGAAGATGTGGATCGTGAAATGAAAATGTGGAAAAATTGAATATTATGAGAAGAAAGTCGACTTTTTGTCCTCGATAAAAGTTGATCTTTCAGAACTAATCCACTCACCTTTCCACAATCTAACTAGTGATACCATGGCATGGTCTACTAAGAATTTTCTTGAGAGTAAAGCGAAAAATAAATTTTGTAACATCCCACAATTCAAGACAAAAAATTTCATTTTTAATTAAGTTATTATAATTCCAAAAGTATAAAAGCATCCATAGTGTCAGCCCATATCAAAAACAGTATGTCAATATTCAGAACATGTCATAATGAAAAAAATATCAGAGTATAATCACAAAAATATCATGTGCGGAAAACATAGTGTTATGTGATGCGATCATTCTGGCACCTTCGATTTTGCAAAAGAAGTACCTGAAATAAAAACTGAAAACCATAAGCACCATGCTTAGTGAGTACCACAAACCATACAATAAACGTAGTTTCTAACATATACAGGTACTGGACTACCCCTTTCGGTCTCTTTCAACTGGTAACTGTCTAATATAATAGGGTGCTGGCCTACCCCATCGGTCTCTTTCAACCGGTAACTTGCCTAGCGTATCAGGGTGTTGGCCTACCCCTTCGGTCTCTTTCAACCAATAAGTTGCCTAGCATATAAGGGTGTTGGCCTACCCCTTCGGCCTTTCGAGCTGTACTGGGGACTATTTTTCCCCTACTTCTACCATATAATCATCCTAGTACATAAACACATAAGTCACATACTGCCTAGCATATCAAGGTGCTGGCCTACCCCTTCGGTCCTTTCGACCAATACTTGGGCCTATCCTACCTCTCCTACCACTATCACATAATATTATAGCATAATAGCACATAAGGCGTAACACATAGTGGCATACTAGATAATTATCACAAAGACAATCATCTCTACTATAACAGTTACTAGTGGGTCGGCATTGGTGCCTTCAACCCAATTCTACTGGAAGGTTACTCACCTCACAATGCTGAAGTCCTGCGAACAAAACTCTAGCTGCAGGATAATAGATTCCCGAACTGTCAACATCACAATAACACCCAATTAATAATTGGGTTCCAACATTTAACCATAAGTCCATGCTTGGGGTAAAAGACTAATTTACCCCTAACTACGCTTTATTCAAGCCTAAGGCCCAATCCAAAGGCCTAAAACTCAAACTATGAACCAAAGCCGAACACATGGCCAAATTTTCCAAATTGGGCGCAAACCTTTACATGGCTTTACCCTAAGGACCAACCATTTATTCCAGTCCAAACATTTGGGATTCTAATGGTCCAATATCTCATAATCATCAAGGCCTAATTATGGCCCACCTATGGCCCAATTTTCCAAATTGGGCCCAAACCCTCACATGGGCCTTACCTTAATGCCCATTCAAATATTCTAGTCCATGTACTTATTGTTGGATATCCAATCAATAGCCCAATCACCAAAACCCAATAGAGGTGCCCAACTCAAGGCCCAAGCAAAATTAAGGTTTTCACATAAAATGACAATTAAGGTTAAGTGTTCTTACTTTACCCACTGAGGACATAATTAATTAAGTCCATCATTCTACACGGTAAATCATACAGTGTGATTGTGTGTAATTCATAATTCAATTAAAATAGCCCAAAGCGCGGGTCCTGATCTGTCCAAACCAACAAATTCAAAATTAGGGTTTTCTAAACCCTAATTAGGGTTTCCAACGTAATCGTGTTCCAGTTAGTCCATTTGTTAAGTTTTTAGGTTAATAAATTATTATTTAAGTTGGGCACCACCCATTACCACCTCGGGTAATGGCGGTTAATGGTGGCTTACGACGGTGGCGGCCACCTCATGGTGGTGGTGATGGATTTCCTTAATTATTCTGGTCAACAAACAATATTACAATGCAATATCCAAATGAACGCACACACAAAAATAACACGTACACTCATACCCACCCACCCTTGTGGCGGCAGGCAGTGGTTGTAGGTGGCATCCACCACCTCATGGTGGTGGTGGTGGTTTTTCTCGTGAAATCCGGCCAAGAAACACCACACACAACACACACTCATAGCAGAAATACACACAAACTCACATGTTCTGATCGCATGATGAATCCAACCACCTGGTGGTGTACGTCGACAACGATGGCACGAGATGGTGGCAACAACGACACTTACGGTGGTAGTGGCTTGCCCGTCTTCACTCCCGAAGTCCCAACGTCGGTCTTTGTCCTCAGCCACAACACAAATGGCGACAACTTTCTGTTCAACGGAAAAGTGCAGTGGTAACACCAACGGAGCTGAGATGCAGCGCCGGCGAAACGATGATGAACAAAAGAAGGATGAAGACATTAGTTGGCGGTGAAACAAACGCATGGCGGCGGTAGCAATGACGAGACCCAATAACAGCACATTCGACCGGTCTCGATGGTTCATTCGGCTGCATGATGTCTGACAATAGTGTCGTGGTGGTGTTTCAATGGCGAAGCTGTAGCATTCACAACTTCAACATTGGTCTCGGTGGTTCTGCCAGTTTTGCTTATGTCTCCAGCAACCATGTTGCGATGGGGCTCATCGGCGAGGCAACAGGATGCGGCCTTGTCTGATCGGAAGAACGAGCATGGTGGCGACTGAGTTATAAGTAGTGGCTGGTGAGTCCCTTAGGGTTAGGGTTATGGGACAGGTTATATACCTAGAACCATTTGAAACATCATCCCATGTTGACAACATTGGTCCCTTCCTTCTAAAATATTTTCTAATTGGCTCCAATACTTACCCATTTGAAGTCCATATATTACCATTCAGCCCCTTAGCTTCCAAAATTGATTGAAATTAAGTCCCAATAGTTTGTCAAGTAGTCCCTGCCTTCATAAATATTTACAAAACCAATCCGGAACTTTCCCTTTTAACCCCCAACTTCTAATATTGTGATAATTAACTCCTCGAAACCAAAACCATGCTAAATTATTATTGATATTAAGGAAACTATTCATTCATTAATTTATCTATTTGTTTGTTCAATAAACAGGGTGTTACAACTCTCCCCCACTTAAATTAGATTTCTTCCTTGAAATCATTCCTTACCATTCCTTACACGCCATACAACTTGAACGACATGACCACAAACCTGAGCATAACCTAGCCTTTCCTAGGCAACCAAAACCATCCCTCGTAGGGTTCGAAAACCCAAAGGTAAATGAATTCTTGCATTATGATCACATTACTCAATCTTAAATTTGTAGTCTTGAGATGGTCTGACTCCTTGACCGATCGCCCATATTGAATCATTATTGTTGATCCCAGTCCACTTATCTCTCAACTGACTACTCAACTTCTGATAACTCGAGGTTCCTAATTGAAGACAGAATCATAGAAATAATTATCCCTATAGATCACTTATAGTTGGACAAGGCTCGGATAATCTTTCAAGTAGAAGATCCTTCCTTGTAACGGCTAGACTCAGTCTAGAGCTGCGCAACAGGGTCAAATCTATTACTCTGAGATTATTTAACCCCACTGTGAGTGACATAGCATAACCCAAGAAATTAGTTACTTCATCCATACATGAAATTCTAAAACACTAATACCACCTGAAACATTGAAACTACCCAAAACAGCCTGCTGCCACATGGCTGCTTTCTAAAATCTACTGAGACCTCCCTAGTCTCAATTGGTTCACCAATCATCTGAAATACCAGGTCCTGGCCCGGCTACGGAGCCAAAAGACTCACACACAGTTGCTCCACACGAATTTTGAACACAAACCTTGTCTGTTAATAGTTGTCACTAGTTATCTTGTCATTGTGGCTTTGACGACCTTCTGATCTAACTGATCGGGTCCATACGTCGAGTCCTGACATCACCAATTCCAAGGCTAAAAGTGATTGCTACATGACTAAAAGGTAGCCTTGTACCATAAACGACCTTATACGATCCATTGCTTCCTTGATCCTATAACTGTGGGGGCGTTCCTACGGTCTTATCACTGGCCCAACTAGGTTTTATTCATCTTGGGAAATCCGTAAACCAATTTGTGGATTTTCCATGCCCTCACTACTGCACCTGAAATGGTGGGTACTAATGTTCCTTCTACGATCTAACAACACACTCCCATGCTATCTACCAAGCTAGTGAATGCTACAACTACACCCACAGTCTCACAACACTCTAGCACTATGTGCCAACCACGTGAATGCTACAACTACACCTGCAGACTTACAACACTTCCCAAACTACCTGACTACTAGTGATTGCTATGGCTATCCCCACAGTCTTACAATAATTTCCATACTATCAGACCGCTAGTGAATGCTACGGCTACCCTCGTAGTCTTACAATAATTTCCATACTATCTGAATGCTAGTGAATGCTACGGCTACCCCTGCAGTCTTATAACACTTTCCATACCAGGTCGAACATCCACTCTACCTAACACTTAACTAAACTTTAGTACTAACTGAAGCTCTAACCTGGGACCCGAAACCTGCTATCTGAAGCTAAGGAAAAGTGTGCACCAAATTTTGGAACGTTTTCTGAACTCCCAACTTACCTAATCCTCAACCTAGATGGTCACTCGACCGCCTCCCTTCCTAAAGGGGATGAGAAACTCATCCTAGTTCCATACCTATTTCTGCTCCTGGATACCTGATTGATTCTCCCCCACTTAGATTCTACTAAGTCTTCACGGCACGTGAGAATTGAAGGATTCCTAGTCCTTCTTACTTCCTAATAGTCCACTATCAACAACATGTGCTTACCCATGATAGCGATCAATTACCAGTCAAACCATAAGATTGTCCATCCTCTGAAATCTTGAAGATCACCCTTGAAATTTGGTCTAGTTCGATACCTCAATCCACCTCCCATGCTAGCGAACGGAGGCCTTAATCTTAACCCTGGCTGAAGGATCCTCGTTCCCACTTCCACTCTTGCAGCACTGATGAACTCTAACCAAACACAACCCATGCAAAAATACAACTAACTTGAACATCCAATTATCAAACACCTTTGCGTC